GGGGGCCCCCGCCACTGGCCAAGGCCCGGCCCATCAGCAACAGTGGTATTGCCTCTGGGATAACGTATTTGAGAATCTGGGAGTGGTGGAGGGGAAACTGAGAGGAGAAATTGTAGCAGACAGAGAGAGCGATGTGAGAGGAACAGCTCTGCAGACCCCCGGGTCAGTGGAGAAGTAGGGGAAAGAGGTGTTCCAGGTGCTGGAGCAGAGATACCCCGGCAGCCCATGGTGCAGCCCATGGTGAGGCCGGCTGTGCCCTGCAGCCATGGAGGGTCACGGGGGAGCAGAGACCCGCCTGCAGCCTGGGGAGGGCCCTATGCTGGAGCAGAAGGATGCCCAAAGGAAGCTGTGACTCCATGGGAAACCCACACTGAAGCAGGCTCCTGGCAGGACCTGTGTCCCTATGGAGAGAGGAGCCCAGGCTGGAGCAGGTTTGCTGGCAGGACTTGTGACCCCCAGGGGGACCAAGGCTGAAGTAGCCTGCTCCTGATGGACTGTACCCCATGGAAAGGATCCATGCCAGAGCAGTTTGTGAACTGCAGCCTGTGGGAAGGACTTATATTGGAGTAGTTCAAGGAGGACTGTCTCCCATGGGAGGGACCTCATGCTGGAGCAGGGGCAGAGTGTGAGGTGTTCTACCCCTGAGGAGGAAGAAGCAGCAGAGACAATGTGTGATGGACTGACCACAACCCCCATTCCCCATCCCTCTGCACTGCTTGGGCAGAGGAGGTAGAGAAAAGCGGGAGTGAATTCGGGCATGGGAAGAAGGGAGGTGTGGGGGAAGGTGTTTTAAGAATTGGTTTTAGTTCTCTTTTACTCTGATTTGATTGACGATATTTTTTTTTTCCCAAGCTGGATCTGTTTTGCCCGTGATGGTAATTGCTGAATGGTTTCTCCCTGTCCTTATCTCAATCCATGAGCCTTTTGTTATGTTGTCTCCCCCATGTCCAGTTGAGAAGGGTCGTAATAGGGCAGCTTTAGTGGGCACCTGACCTCCAGCCAGGGTCAACCCACCACATAAGCTTTGTAAATGCTACATTTTTAGAGCAGTGACTGTCTCTCTGTGTATGCCTGTGTTGCTTGGAACATTCTGTCTGTAGTATAATATTCCTGTTGGGGGTAATCTAGCTAATTCTTTGTGACCTTTTAATGAGAAAAATAATGCTATAAACACTGTATTAAATTTATTTCTCTCATCCTAAGCATATAAGGCAGAAAACCCCTCAAACACTATATTCCTACAGAACAACAGACTTGATGCGCCTTTGCGAACATAGAAGCTTTGCCTTGCAATCATTTATGCAGAAGAATAACTTTACTTTTTATAGCTCATCTTGATGGTCATGGTGGAATGGCCAGTATGTATTTATTGTATCCAAGATCTTGAAATTATTGTAAACCAGATTCATAATACACAACAAACAAACCAGACTGTTTGAAACATGTTTATATCTTGAGGAGCTTGTGTTATTTAAACTAGAGGTTATTCGGCTTGAAACCTCGGTTCTAGATGTGCTTTTGACCCAGGACAAAGCCTTTTGCTCTAACAAATAAACTGTGTTAAAACAGTAGCATTTACAAACAGAAATAAGCATATATTTGGCATTAAACAGCTGGAAACTGGATTGACTCCTTCAACAGAACATGAACTGTAGAACCAGTACCTGACTGATCGGTGTATACTAACGTAAGTGGACTCTTTCCATTGATTTTACCATTAAATTCCGATTTTGGATTTTATTTCAGTACTGGGTTAATTATAGAGCTGCAGTACACGAGCATTCTGGTTGATTTGTGTGCTTTCCGGGTTCTTAACCTTGAGATAGGAATGGCTGCTAAGATTGGGCATCTTCCAGAATGATAAAAGGATTTTTGAAGAAAATTGAGTTGAATGGGAAGAAGGAAAACATGAATCATGGTCTGTGTTGCTTCACCTGTTTATGTAGCTTATAGATTATATTTAAAAAGGTACTGGCCAAGTATAAAGAATAAAGTGTTCTCTGTATCAGACAGTGGCGGATACTGGAAAACCTCATTGTAAAGATCAGTGTCAGATTAAACATACTGTTTTTCTAGAAGAATTCATTGCCTTTTAGCAGGAAAACTTCAGATAAAGGGTCAGACCTGCCAGTTTATATTAGAACTGAGTAAATTCTTTACAAGCACAGCTGATCATCTTTGTGTGAACTTCAGAGATTTACTCACAAGATGGTTTTGGAATCTGTTCGTAACAAGGTTTCTGCTTTGGAGCCTAGATCTCTCCAGGATAATGCGAACAAATGACTGCCAGGTGCCATTGCCTCTTCAAAGTTGAAATTCTAACCTCTCTTCACTTCTGACAAGTAGCTGAAGTGACAGGCTTATCGAGTCTCTTAAACCGTAGCTTGGAGGTTGAGTCCACGAGGAGTCTACACTCCTGAAACCCTGATGAGAGGTGCTGTGTTTGTCCCCTCTCTTCCCTAGATGTAGATGCTCACTACCAGGGAAAGGAGATCAGTCCATAGGGCTTGTATTTCTCCTTCTGCACTAGGAGAGAGACGTGGCCAATTACCACTGCAACTTGCTCACAGAACTCCTTTGTGAGCAGGACTCGTCAAGCATGAAGCAACACTTGCCTTCTACCCACTTCCAACTCCACTAGTAATCCATTTCCAGAGGGAGAAGTTCCAGCTTTCTTCCCACGTGCACAAGTGGGTAGTGTGTTGATTTGGCAAAGAAGCACAAGCATTTGCCTCCCCACTCCCAAGAGGGAAGTCCGTGTTTTTTTCCAGGATGTAAGTTTCCCTGTTTATGTCTCAAAGGAATAAGAACTCAGAGAAATTGCTCCCTCCACCTCCTTGCCCCAAAAAGATGTCCCAGTGAACAAAGCATTAATTCCCTTCTTAGATAATAAAATGATTGTAAAAAGCGATAAAACAGGATTATAGGATAAATACTTGACAGTGGCAAAGTAGTTGCAGTGTTTGGCATACAGAAAATACTTTTTCAGTAGTAAATTATGCTAATAGTATCTGAGATTTTAAATATATATATATATTTCTAAATCTTGGTTTCTTTTTATTATTATTTATTTTGTGAAGAGGCTAAATTTGAATCTGTTTATTTTCTGAGCTAGAGGAAGAGGTTCTTTAATATGCTGCTGTAATATCATGCTAGCTCCCAAACCTCAAGGTTCAAATTTGCATGCAAAATAGATGGCACTTATTTTTGTCACCTGTCTACAGATAGGCCTTCTGGCTTATCTTGTACTGTAAATTGTCCTTCTTAAAAGTCATCCCTTTTAGCCTGACTTGCAGGCCTGAATTTACCTTCATTCCACACAAATCTGGCTTTCACTTCTCTTTTTATACAACTTCTTACATCAGAAATACAGAATTCTGAAATTGAGAGGATTTTTTTTTTAAGATTAATAAACAAAAAAAAGTAAGCCTCCATTATCTTGGTGTTTTCTCTCCAATTATTTTTTTATGAGTTTTATATTTCAATTTTGATGGGATAAGAAATACGTATGATATGTGATAGGCATAGAATTGTAAAAGAAAACATGTATAGATCTAGAGAAATGGGTAGGAGTAAAATGTATAGTATGTCAATATTGTAGCTTCTCTTAATAAAATTATTTTAGTTAAGTGGAGATTCATGGTAATGGAGGTGTTATTTTCTTCATTGCTGTTTCATAGTGATCTCACAGTAGTCTGAGTTTCAGTATTTTGAATTTGTGTTGAATTTAAAAACATTCTCATGTGCAAGCAGTTCTAAACCTAGACTCAAGTTCTCCTATGGGTTTTCAAGGAAAAAGCCCTACAGATATGCAACAGTAAACTGTGTGCACTTTTATGCATACTGGCAGATATCAATTAAGTGTTTTTAGGTTCCTGCTCACAGATAAAAACCACTGTAATCTCATTTTAATTAAATGGAAGAAAGGAATCTTTTTGAAAAAACTCTTTGCAATAAATGTATTTTTTTGTAAGATTTGGCAAAAAAAATCTTTATTTTTAGGAGTGAGGAAAAAAGAGAAAAAGGAGAAAATATATGCAGATGCAATTGTGAGCCAAATTTACTGAGGGAGGCAAATTAAAATCCAACTCTATAGATTCTCCTCCTTCCTTATTTTTTTTTCAAATCTTTCTTCACTTCAGTTGTTCCCAAACTGTGGTTTGTGGAGAAATATTAATTAAAAAAAATTAGTTTGTTTTCTGTTAAAAGTTTGTTCATAGGGAATATGTTAATCTGAGAGAAAACAATCTGGCTTTGTTTGAAGAAGTTTTAAGACTGTTTCTATACAGCAGAATGTGGAGTGTATACCCACCAACTGTGCTCCATCTCACTTGGGTGTGATTTGGTTAGTGTGTGCAAATACCATCCAAGAGATCCAGCTCAAACCAAGGGGTAATCTAGTTTTTCAGATATTACCAGCTGGAAAGAGTCAGGGGCAATATACCTTTCTTTCCTAATTCTTTCCCTTGTATTAGCTTCTCTTTTGTTTTCATTAACCTACTTTAAGTCAGTGATTTTGGGTGCAAGAAGCCAGAAATCTCTTACATGATTTAGGCTTTTTGTCCAGGGTATCAGCATTTGAGTATGAACTTGTAAAATAACTTGCACATCCCAGCAGTGGAAATTTTGAAATGGTGTGAATGCTTTAGCCCTGTGTAATAATAGAGCTGAACATTAGTCACCCATTTAAAAGGTACAGAATTGTCAAATATTTAATAATGAATCATTTTCTCTTGTGGTGAGGTTCCTGTCAGGTTACAACACATATTTTTATGACACTCTATATTTATTGGTCTTGATTTCCATACATTCAGGTCAGTTTGTTGAGGGTTTATTCTGGTGTGGAAGTCCTGGCAGTGTTCATTATAATTATCAACTGGTTTAGTAACAGAGGAGACCCACTAAAACATACTCTTCACTGGTTCATGTTAGAAGAATGGTATGAGGTGCCTCCTTCTTGCTGTTTCCTAAAGCAAGGATCTCTGCACTGTGCAAGGTAAAGAATGAAAGGAATCACAGTCTGAGAAGGCAAAAGCCTGATGGAATTAAAGTGTAGTAGTAATGCAGTATTTCCCTAGACTGACAACTGCAATGCAAATCTATCAGGTTCTGCAAAATTGGAAGTTTTGCTGAAAATTCTGTTTTTAGTATTCTGTGGCAACCACAGAACATTGTGCACTCTTGATTTACGTAATGCTGATCTTCAATTTGTCTTCTTTTCATATATGAAGGTTAATTGTAAGCACGCAGAAAAGACCTACAGTCAATGGGCTTTGCAGGGAGGAGATACACACAAAAACTGGCAAGAGTATTCTAGACATTTATGTGGGAAACCAGATCTCTCATGTCCTGAAAGACACCATGGAAAAGTTAACCACTTTGAGAATTACAATATATTTTGCTGGTGCTGATCATGCTATTCCAGTTCGTACTAAAGTCTGTCTAGGGTGTCCCAGTTCTACGCCTGTCTTTGTGCTCTGGATTGCTGTCTTACCTGTAAGCTCCCTCAGACAGACAAACAGCAGCTTGTGGAAAGGGAGGTGAAGGATTTCCCATGTATCTCGGAGAAGAGGAAAAAGAGCAATTAAAGGGTTAACTCCAGTGTTACATAAAGGTAACGTGGAGAAGAACAGGAACATGTAAATGATCGGTTTTATTACTTCCCTCAAAATTATTATTTTTGTCTCAGAAATCTGATTTCAGATTGAAGTGATGAACAAGTTGCCTTATATTAGACAACAGCATTGTAACACTACGCTGAGTTAAGGCAAATGGATTTCATTAATCAAACCACGTGTGCTCAGAAGTGCACGTCTTCTGACATCTGTTTATATCTTCTCTTACAATTTTCATTGTGCTTCCTTGTTTTTCCCTTATCACAACTTGTTAACATAATTTCTTTTTCTTTCTTTTCTTTTTTTTTTTTTTTTTTTGCATGTATTATCCTTAACATCTTGTTCTGATTGTGAAGAGGCAACTGTGCCCCGTGCCGACCATGTGACGGGTGACTGTTGCTGCTTAATGTAGTCACAAGGTGCAGAAACAGCTCAGTGCTTGGCAAGAACAAAGAAGTATGCTGGAGGAATTTGCTTCCCAGCATGAAGAAATGCTCTATAACTATTTTGATCTTACATGAGACTTGTGAAACACTGAAGTCATGTCAGGTTCTGATGTGATTATAATTTGCTCCTGACTTTTGATATTTTTGATTTTTTGGGACAGTATTGCTCCATGAAAAAGAGAGCTGAACAATTCCATGTTTCGCTGGATATACTCCAAACGTACTATTTTCTCACTCTCTTCCTTCTTGCTGGAATCTGCCACGGATAGATTTACTGCAGATTTCAAACCTGTCAACACCCAAATGTGTGACACCAGCTCTCAATACATGTGAAAGAGCTAAGCTGAGGGACATGATAATATGTAGCAGGGGAAGGAGATAGAAGTTCTGCAGAATACATTTTGTGCAGTACAGAAAACTTCTGTAAACTCCATTTTGAAGTTGAGCAACTCCCTTATCAGCCTGCAGTTATCAGGGAGTTAGAAAACAGAAGTACAGGAGTCCAGACTTCATGACTCACGTTTGTGCTAGAATGTTAAGAGTACTGCAGAGAGTTTTATGAGCTGCTTAAATCACAAAACTGAAAGTTATTAAAAATATGTATAACTCCCAACTTCAAGCTCAGGAAGTCCATGTTTTGAAAATTCCCGCTATTGTTAGAGAGCAGCCTCACCCAGCAGCCCTGCTGGATCCGTATAGCTGCAGCTGAACCGGAAAGTGCAGCTGTGCATACGCCCAGACTTTCTTTTGCAGTTGGACAGTTACGTACGAACTTGCCTGGAGTCATGACACGGCTCTACCCTGCTGCTCCAGCCCCGCTCTTATGCACCCTCGCCGTCCTGTTCAAAACGTCTCTGGCAGTGAACCACGTACCGATGCTGCTTTGGTCAACTCGGAGGTAAGAAATGCAATAAAAGAGTATCTCTGCTTAAGCTATTGCTCTGTGTGTGTGTGCAGAATATGGTGTATATCACCACTCTACTAAATAGCCCCTACGCAGTAAAATTACCCAAATTTGCCCCTCGGTAGTCGAACAACCTAACAGATGAATTTACCCATTTTTATTTATAATTTTAGCGTTGTAAGCTGGGTGGGGAGAAGTAAATAAACCCCATATTCTTCTAATTTAAAGCAGATATGCTTCATTCACCCTAAGGCAACCTTGAAGTACACTGTTAGAGATCTTGTGACTTAAGGCACAACAGAAGACAGTCTCAGAAGAAGGAGCTGACCAAAGACTGTGTGGGTAAAATTAATCCTTGCATTTCCTAACTCCTGAATCCTGATTTTTTGCTTTAATGTTCTCTTTACTGCACATTTTTTAATAGAATACACTGTTATATGTATACACATCAGTTGTTAGAAAGAACTGCAGAATCTTGACAGATCCAGAGAGACATGTGAAATTCAGGGGTTTGCATGTACTTATGAAATAAGACTTTGAACTTGTCTTGAAAGAGACAGATATAGACCTCTTTCTTCCAACCAGGAATTTTATTCAGGCGGACTTTAAGGATTTTATACAGTTACTTGGGGTTTCCAGAAATAGGGTGGCTTGAACAGCACAGTAGCTTCAGCTGGTGAACCGGATACGTAATTTCTCAGAGTACTTTGCACCACTTATTCACAAAGCTGTCTGCACAGGGCATACACACTGGTTTTGTCTAGGAAGTACTGCCCCAAAATACAAGGTGATGTCAGAGATTTGTCTGAAAAGGCTCCTGTGGGGCTTATGGGATCGCAGGACTGATTTTAAGGGGTAAAGGAAAATTCCTCTCCTGCATGGGAAAGCAACAACAGATCAGCTGTACTCTAAGTTTGCCTAAAGTGTGCTCTGGCCTGAGTAAATTACTTGACTCTCTCTTCCCAACTCCTAAATCCTCCACATCCTTAACCTGATTTATCTACATTGTAAACCTTCTCATGTAGAAGTCATCTTATTCCCTCCGCAAGCACATATGTATTATACCTAGTTCAACAGGCCTGATCTCACCTGGGTATTTATTAATTTCTCTAATACAAATAAGCAATAACACCCACAGTATTTGGAATTTGTCACAATCCAGCTGGGTGATTTCATAAGCATGAAATGCTTTCCTGTACCGCCAATGGCCTCGGTGCACAAGTTAACCCCCACTTTTGCTGTAAGGATGAACAAAAAGGGGCTGCAGTGATGGGGACTCCTGTTGGGTCCCTTTGCTGGCATGACCAAGCTGGGCAGGGAGAGTTTCTGGGCAGGGAGAGTTTCCTTCTGAACTCCTTCGGTCATCAATTCTTGTCAGGCCTGAATTCATGGGATTTGATTCTTTTGTATCTTTTTGCATTGTTAATTCCCAGAGCTTTATCTGTGATTTACTCTTCTGTAAACTGGGAAAGGAACCAAACCAATGGCTTCCTGGGAGGTAGTTATCCTTTCGGCTAGTTGTGCTACATTCACTCTAACTTCCATGAGGCTTTGAGCCGTTCTTCAACACATTTGAGACAGTGTGAATTATCTAGCTGTCACTAGGAAGAGAATTAGACTAAATTCTGCTCTCTCTTATCCTAGTGTAAATCATTTGTCATGAGGCGTTTATTTAGATTTAAGTCTGAGAGCTAAATCTTGTTAATATTTTCTTACTTTGCTTTTTCTTTTTTTTTTTTCAGTTGCTTCTCAATGTGGTAATTTTAAGACAGAAATGGGAATATTTAGAGATTTTATGAACATCAGGGATTAGATTGATTTGGTTGTTCAGTAGATCTTTCTCGATGTATAGTGACACATAGACAAGCATGCTACTTTTCTGGTTTTTTTTCATATGTGACACTGTAATGTTGAAGGCCATGGAAAACAGGTATGTAGAAGGTGTTGACTGTGTTTCTTTCATATGTATCCTGGACATTGCATCCTTTTCCCAACAGTAATTAATACCAGCTTTGACATATGTCTACCCATCTTTTAAGCATTTCCAGAAACAGAACCTCCTCCGGTCCCTGGGGAGACACAACATATAGGAATCTGCAAAGTTTGTTTAAGTTTGATTAGGTAATATTGACTTTATTTTTTTTGCCCTGAAAGAAGTATGTCCGTGTGAACGGATGTCTCAACATCAAGGTTTTTTTATATTCAAAGTACTTTAGCTGTTCACCTTTATAGAACACAGGCACATGTATGAGTACTAAATCTCTGTATGTAAAAACAAAGTAAATGTTGGAAAGAGTTCTTCTTAGGATAAAAGTGATCCTAAAAGTCTAAGCAAAGATCAATGCTTCCTTTGTTCCACTTCTTTGTTTATATAAACAACAGACCTGTTGTCAATATAAGCAGTCTTATCAGTTAATCCAGGGTGGTCATAACATCAAACTTTCCACCAGGATGCAATTAGCAACTTGCTCTACTGCAGATTGTTCAGGTTTATGCAAATCTAGAGCAAGAAAATCAGGATAGTGGACTGATCAAACCAGTTTCATGTTTCCAGGAATAGAACATTTTCTCAAGAAGTGTTCCTTTTACCATGACCTTTGCGTTTTTGAAAGGCGAAGTTCTTGTGGGGCAGAAATCAGTCCTGGTGAAAGTCAATGAAGTAATGCGAAAGGAGATTTATGTTATTTCATAAAATAAAGAAACAGTAAGAGTAACTTTTGTTTACTAACCCTTCACCCCATGCTTTACACCTTGGTATTTTGCAGTGGTGCAAGGTTTGCCATGTGTCATCTACAGGCTTATGAAATCTGGAAACTACTATTAAAAGTTTTAGGAAAGGTAACGAAAGAAGTGGGGCAATTATCCATGGTTTTTTTAATTCACTTTGTGGAAACATGTCCCACCAGTTTAGAACTTCAATGATTCATTGATCAACAGAACCTGCAGTTCACTAATCTATTCCATCCCCCTCTCCCAGGTTATCACTTAGGGTATGATATCCAATAGTTGACAGATAGTACATTTTGGTCTTCTTTAGAACTAGCCAGTGTTTGTAAAGGTGTATCTCAGAACAGCTATATTAGAAGAATGCAACACTTGGAAGTCTCTCTTTTATGCATTATTATTGTACTGTAATCATGCTGTTAAAGATGTTAGATGTCAGATACAGATGATACCTGCAACTGACAAACACATGAAGCGTGCAAAGATAAAAGGAAGTGTGATATAAACCCTTACAGGGACATTAGTAAATCAAATACCTCTTTCCTCTACAAAGAAAAATGCAGATCTCTACATTGAGAAAAATAAGAAGTTTCTACCAAACAACAATCTTTCTCCATTGAACTCAGGAAAAAGATGAATTTGTATTAACTCAGTAGGTCACCATATCCTGCTTTTCACAAACAAATACTAATAGATCAGTGGTCATTCTCCAAATAACTTTGGTCTACAAAATTCAACCTTTATCTTAAATTAGCCTTTAAACTAATATCTCCTGGCTGCTTTTTAAAATGGTAGAAATGGAGAGATTCCTTTTGCGTACGATTCACAGAAGAAATTTGATTTAGCCATTTTGAACCAATATTCAAAAGAATTTCTTTCTCTACTTGGATTAGAGAGGAAGCCTGAGGAAGTAAATTCATTCAAATTAGCTTTTGTGATTGCCCCCTCATGTGTTTGTTTTAGGAATGATTTTTGCCTACAGGCATTGAAAATATATTGCTACCTTGATTTATGCTATGCTTATACTGAGAAACGAATCCTTTTTTAGCAAATCCAGATTATAAATGTCTTTGAAAAGGCATTCATGCCAAATAGTACATTTGCAGTATTTCTTAAAACTGCAGGGAATTTGCTGAAAATCTGCTGAAAGAAGGTGAAACATAAAAAGGATACAGTGGAAACAGAAAAACTGTAATAGCTGTAACTTTATTGGACTTCTGTGGAGATACTGTGTGCTAGCATGCTTGCGTAGCTTTTTGAACTTTTTCTTCTATATTCATGACTTTTCATTTTACTACCACTGCTAGTAATGTGGATGTGAGATTTGTGTGTAAAAGTGGTATTTGAAGGTCTTTTCAATTTATTTTTTTAAAATTAGATTGTTTACTTCTGCTGTGCAGGAGAAAATGTTATTTCCTAAATGGTAATCACGAGGCAACTGAAAGTGAAAACTGACAAGAATAACTTGCAGAAAGGAGTTCAGAAGCCAACTACAAAGCAAGAATATAAGCTCACAAGTTAGAGTGACAGAAGTCCTGTTTATCCTACTGTCTCCCGTCTGGGAGGTCCAGGTACAAGAAATCTTGAAATCTTTGCTTCCATCAAAAATAAGTGCTGACATCCCACTTCTACATAGAAAGAGCACTGGTCGGAGAAAAATCTATGTGCTTAAACTTGTCATGTCAGAGCAGTTAGGGATAAGAAAGAAGCAAAATACCTAGCTAAGCTTTCTTGCCTTCTCTAGTGCATTTTCTGGCTATTGAAAGAAAGAGAGCGCAGTGGAATTCTGTTTCCTTCTTTTTAGCCAGCAGGAAAGCACATACATTAGCAGAGATGTTCATCATTATGAGCCCCCACAGCTGAGGAGCACAGGGTAGTTCTACAGTGGGGATGATCAGCATGATGTGCTTGGCATGCAGATGACTGCACCAGGTTGTGCTTCTTTGGACATAAATATTAGTGCGAGCAATCAATAATAGCAATCAATATGTGTGCTGGCCTACTGCCTGTTTCATCCTATGCCATCCCTTACTGATCTCTCGGTGCCTGCTTGAGGTGAGGAGTTCAAAGGGATGGACTGGTTCATTGCATTCAGTAAAGCACACCTACACCTCCAGCTTATCCATGATGCGCTATCTATGGCAGTCATGTATCTCCATTTCACTCTGCAGTTCACAGCAAACCAGCTGGTAAAATGTACTGGCATTTCCCATCTGAACTGTGGTGAGAATATTGTTGCACTCAGCTGAGAGTAGCAGCCCATTCAAGGAAGGCTGTAGTCTTGCCAACGGCCATCCATAGTACTCAGCACACTATTGAAAAGAAGCAAAATGAATGTGTGTATAATATGGTGAATATAAGTATTAGGCAAATGCTGCATTATAATAGAATTATTAACTCACCCGTATAGATTTATTTTTCTAATAATGATGCTCGAGTTACTAAAGCTGACTGCCTGGAAGGTAAAAGTCTCACAAAAGGTGCTTTTCAAGGTTAAATCACTAGCAAGAGCTGCTTCAAGGAACAGGGAATACGTTAGAAGCAAGTATGCTTTAAAACAGGATCATTAAATTTCTGAGGTTTTGAGTTCGCGACAAAAGCCTTTGTGATTGTGCTGCTGCAAATAACTTAGTTTTGTTTCATGTGCTTTCTGTTACATTTAATTCTTAATTGCAAGTCCCAAAAGCACTATAAATCTTCATTTTTTCTAATAATAGGCATGAAATAGATTTAGTTAGTTTTTAAAATAAATATAAAAATATATTCACTATAATTTTCTTTCACACAAGCCATTTTTTAACACCTCTTAATTTAATCTATCTTCTTTTCCTTCAATATCATTAGTATTTTGGTGTGGCCATGCAGTGCATAAAGTCAGTATGAAAATCAATTCCTGAATAGTCATTCAGAATCTTTAGGAGTTTTTGTGTTTTCAAAGATCTTATTTTTAAAGATAATAATTAAATATTTGAGATCATTAGGTTTGACTTTTCTGAAAAGTTGAGGCATGTCTGTTACAATTTCTAAGTTGTTTGGCTTCATAAAAATAAATTAATAGTAATTTCCAAGCACGAAATAATGAAGAAGGGAAGATGCGGAGCAAAACTAAGGAAATACAAATGATCATCTCTACCAAATGGAAAAAAATTCTTTCCTGCACAGCAGGGTTTACTCTAAAGATTGAGAAGCGACAGACAGAAGGTCTACTGGGATTTAATTTTAACATTTGCAGCATATTGTCCTGAAAGAGTCTTGCACCGTGTACCGTTTGCTCTAACACTGCCCCAAACCCCAGTGTCGGCAGGGAGCTCCTAGCTGTGGGTGCAGCTGGAGGCTTCAATTCAGTCTTGGCAATCTTTACTGGAATTACTGGAAAGTCTTGACGTGAAATATAGATTTTCCTTACCTGAGAAACAACACTGAACCCTGACCCCCACCCAATGTGTTCATCACCTCTGTTCTGCCTCCACCTTAAGAGGCTGCAAAGATTGCTTTCATTCGTAAAAGCTTGCTGTGCAAGGGTCATTTTCAAATGGCATTTGGGTTAGAAAATGTAATAAGCATCTCAGTTTCACCAAATTGCAATTATATAATAGCTGCTGCTACACCACATAGCAATTCTCTATATTCTATTTTTTTTGTAATTAGAACCATTTACAGGATCTGGAATATTTGATTTCTCATCTTAGCGACTGATGTGTGTTTGGGAAAATTGGAAATTAGTCTTCAGACTCTGGGTTTTCCACAGAATGACAATAATACCTTAGTCAAGACACCTAGGACCAAAATTTTTATAATAAATTTCACCCCTACAGACCCATGTTGCTTAACGTTAAAATCTCAGTCAGGTGTTGAAACAATAATGCTACCTCATGTTTTGCTCATAACTGTTCTTTTATAGTAGTAAAAATAAATAGAAGGGTTATTTCTCTGTCCAGTCCTCATGATGACAGGTTGGCAAAAAGGATTGTAAGCTTTTCTTTGTGTCTTGAGCTGTTCTGTTCAGAGGAGCTTCTGGAAAGGGGGCATTTCTGACCTGCTTCTGCAGAGTGGTTCTGCATCATGAAATCCTTAGGAGAAAACATACTGTTTACAACAACACTGAAAAGCCACTTTCACTTGACAAAAGTTTTATGAGAAAATATTGGCTTATGACAACTTGTGGTCTAGCCTGAGTTCTCCTCTCTGGTCCACAAGATGTCTGATGGCATTGGAAAGTATTTTGGGAGTTGGAATTCCCTTTGGGAACTCTCTCTCTGAAAGTTTGCAACATCTTCTTCTTCATTCCACTTAGCAGCTAAATTTTTGAAAGATGCAACTGTGCTGTTGTACCCAAACAAGAAAGTAGAGTGAGACAGTTACCTTGATGGGACCAATTGCGTTCCTGTTGTAACACAGGTAATGTGATATGCACATAAATGGGCAAGTTCTTTCCCTCTTGAGTAGAATCCAAGTCAACTGAACTGCAAACCTGATCTTAATCCAAAGATGATGATACCATTACCTGTTCCTGCATATTTAAAGAAAGAAGATGTGCCATCTTTGGCAGCAAATTTTACAGAGAATATTTTCTTTGTAGTTCACAGTGGAATCCAGACACTGCTTTGCACGAAGGACACGTTGTCTCAGCACAGGAGCTGACTGGACTCTTGCAACCTGTTTTTACCCAGAACTCCAGAAACCTCATCTTGTTCCTGCAAGATACAGTATGTAACATTAATTCCTTTTCTCTCACCGATGCTGAGTGCAAGTCTGTACCTAAATGAGATGCCATGACTCCTTCTCACCAGCCTACTCTTTTTTTTTCAGCTTAGCGTAGAGGATTTCACGTACCTCACTGAATCCTATGGGAGCAAGAATCCATTTCAAAACGTTCAGGCAAGCATGTGTCTCTTTTATTTCTTTGTATGCAGTATTTAAAATTAAAAAAAAAGATATAAGAAAGATGCAAACAAACAATAATGTGAAAATTAAACTGAACTACAACAGTTTTCCTATTTAAATTATTTATTGAGTTTGTTTCAGTTTAAGCTGATGGACTAAAGGAAATCAACTGAGTGTGCTGTGTAGCTTTTTTATTTCTGAAGATCAACTTTTCAGAATTCATTGTAACAGACAAAATTCTTCCTAAACATGCTGCAGTTTTGTATTGTAAAAAACAATATGCTGACACCCCAATATTCTGTTTTGAAGCCATAGGAAAAAAGAAGTTATAGGAATCAATTATTTATTCCTGATTTTCAGAATTGAATGTCTGTTTTATTGTCATAGAAATTAACTCGTAGACTCTTAACTCATGCAGTGAGTTAACTGTTTCATATTTGAATGTAGTTAATATATGACTAGAAACTGGATTGCTTTAATCATAAAAAAAACTTTGCTGCTTGAGTATTTTAAAGTCAACCCCAGGCGCAGAATCTAAGACGGAGTCCTCCTGAGCTGGTCAGCAACTTGAAATTCTCAGGGAGTTTACAGATATGGTGCACGGCATCTCTGATTATACTTACACGACAGTTTATTGAACTGTAATTAGACAAAGGAGGTGTTGACACATGGAAATCATAAAGGCATTCCTATAGGCAGAGAACGATGAACAGAGCTGCCTGTTAGTCACATAACGGGCATCAGAGCGCATGAGGAGCTGTAAATTGTAAATACCCAAGCACCACACAACAAGCTGTTAGTGTAATTATATACATAAATATTCACATATTACCTGTCCCTACATCTCTACTGTCTAAGCACCTGACATCCTCCTTGTGTCACTGATACTGGAGATTTTGCCATATAACAACACTGTTTTAACACTTACACTGGAACAAAAACAACTATTCAGAGTATGTACATGGGTTTTCTGAGGAATGAATGGGAGTAATAATCGTTTGTAGTGTTAAGGATCAGTGGTTGTGCCCACAGGCAGAAGTACTGGTACTTCTCTGGTGTGGCTTATCTCTGGGTTTAAAATCTATGCAAAACTCTGTCTGGAGCAAATTTTGTTGCTGCCTGACTGCAGAGCTAGTTTGATTTTAGAAGCTTTGTGAAAGGTACACATGACACTGCAAGCTCTTAATGACGTGGTGGTCTTATTTAAGTAGACCCTGGATGTTTAACAGGAGGGGTTTTAAAGTATTTAAAACTTTCTTCTTTTGCCTTGTAATTAAGATTCCATCAGCACTGTAGATAGAGCTTGTAGCCAAACAGAGATGAGTCCGGGTTTAGAAATCGGGCGGTACACTGAGTAGTTTGGGGACCTACAGAGGCTAGAGAGGAGGTCCCCAGCTAAACAAAAGATCGTGTTTAAGTAAATCTTTGGACTGTATCTGGCAGAGCAAAGATTTACACCCAGGTTTTCAGCAAGCTGAATAAATGTCAGTACCAATTTGTTTGCTTTCTGAGCTTGTCTTTGTTCCCTTTCTGTCTTGGAGCTGAGAAACTTTTTCTCATTACAGCTTCTTTAAAACTGGAAAGTTTCTTTTTACAGATTGCTCACCTTAACTCCAGCTCTTCCTAGATTTATTCTGTTGGACTTGGCAATCTTAATATTTTTCTAGCATAGTCTTGTGGGGGTGAGGTGCTGTAACTTGAGTGAAAGAAAATGCGATGTATAAATGAAATATTTCTTTTTCAGTTAGGTGCCCATATGGAGAATTTTGTAAACAATCTAGTGCATAGACTCATAGCTTATAGGACCAGAAAGGATCTTTATAATCATCCAGTTCCACCTTAGATGTAACAGAGACTACAAAATTTTGCTCAGTTGCTATCGCATCTGTTGCAGTCCAACTGAACTACTTTGGAAAGAAATCCATTCTTAATCATGCTATGAAAAACTCTGTCATAATACTCTCAGAACACAGAACAAAGTGAAGGTCACATCTCAATTTTCTCACTGTGGAAATTAGAATCTTTGATGTTGCATAATCACAAATTTTTATACCTTCACACTCTATATTATGCAAGTGATTCATTAACTTATAATACATATTCCGTGTCACTCGAGTATCCTCCTTCTGAACTTCAGAAATGAAAATCTATTCACAAAATGAAACTGGATATCTCATTTAGAATGTATATGTGCACGTATCAGCACGTGTACTACAAGAAGGAAGTGTTATTTGTAGAAGAGTTATAGGATTGTATACCACAGACATTGGCAGATATTAGATTTCTTCAGTTACATTAGCAGCTGTTTTGAGCTTTTGGGATCAATGGGTTTGTATGCAATAAGAGAATTTTATTTCCAGTTAATACAGAAGGAATAGTATAGGTAGATCATTTATCGTAAACAAAGAACTTCTAAATTAAATAATAAAATACAAAGATTAGTACTTGGGGACATTTTTTTTAAAGCAGTCACCTACCCCACAAACAGTTTTTCTTTAATATTAGCTTTGGCTTTCCCCAAACAATGCTCAGCTCCTTAGAACTGCAGCGTATGGTAACACACTCCAATTAGTGGCCAGCTGTGCAGCTGCATAATTATTATAGTAAGTCACTGCCATTCCTGGTTCTGTATCTCCACCGTAGCCTCACTCAGGGTCTCATAGACTGAGGAGCGCTGTTTAGTTTTAGTGTGATACAGAGGTTCTACTATAGTTTTGATTCTCTTTGTTCCCTTTCTCTTTACCTCTTTCAGTTTTATGATATTATTTTTGACAAGGGGGTATGCAGAACTGTATAAGAATCAAGATACAAGTTCCTCACAGATTTATTTAGTGACATGATGACGTTTTGTTCTCTAGCCTTTTCCAAAAGAGAACTAATATTTGATTTTTCAATTCTGATCACTATCAGCCACTGAATTGACATTTTCAAAGAGCTGCTGTGCCTCTTAAGGTTTCATTACTGAAGGGTAACACTCAGTTCTGAGTCCATTATCTGTTATTGTGTACATAAAATTAGTGTTGGGTTTTTTTTCTTACCCTGTGCTCTGCTAAAATCAATTCACATTGAATCCCATCAGTTACTTTGTTGCTCAAGAAGCTGTACCAGAAGTTGCTTCTGCAATTTGTCAGCCTTTGCCTTTAGTAGCTTGAATAATTGACCATCATCAGCAGATTTCATTAGCTTATTTTTTATGCTTTTTTACCAGGTAATTTATTGACATATGGAACAGAACAGGCCCTAGTGCAGCAACAGATACTTTTTTTTTTTACCCCTTGCTTGCTATCTCTTTACTTACTCTCTGCCTATCCTTTACCTACCTCCATGTGAAGACTGCCTCTCTCATGCAAAAGTGGCTTAATTTCTTCGGGAGTCTTTGCTTCAGGACTCTGCTGAGTGCCTACACTGGATCCGGGCACACTCTATCAGCTAGAGCTCCTGGTGTACATGTCTATTGACTCCTCCAGAGATCTTCAGCAGAATTGTGAGGCACAACTTCTTTTTGCCAAAGACGTGTCAGCTTTTTCCCAGTATAATTCTTCCTTGTTGTTATAGTCTGTACTTTATTCTTTGGGATAGTTCCTCCCATTCTTGGACTTCAGGTTTGCTTCTCTATAGTTACTTGGATCTGTCTGTAACCCTTGAAAAAAACAAATCTGATGTCATGTTTGCCACCGTACAGTGGTACAGAGGTCCATCCAACAACACTTTCTGTTGCTGGAACATATTTTATCAGCTAAAGTACATTAGATCAATATTCATTAAAATCATAAGATATAGCTTTATGCAGACATTTGGAGAACACAGGTACAGTGTGAAAGTCTGTAAGATTAATAGCAATTGGAAAGTTAAAATGCAACAATGATAATTTTCTTTGCAGTTCTCACTGTGTATAGGAACAGATGTTCTTCCAAATCTGATTTGATTAGGGTTTTTTTTCTTTTTTATAGAAAACCCATTTACCAATGCTGTAGAAAATAAATACAATACTTTAATATTTTAAATTACATACTCACAGGTAAAAGATGAAGAATCAAAAGATGTCTTTTACATGGAAGAGCCTGCCTACTGTGGGTGTAGGTTCCCAGATATTTTCAGAGACAACACAGGAGCCCTTTTCCTAACTAATGTTTTCATTATAGAACTGTCTATCAACTTCGATGCCAAACATAAACTAGTTCAGAAACAATGCCTACATGATCTTTTATAGATGGATGCATGAGTTTTTAACAAAGATTTTAACCATAGCTTTTTAATGATAGCCCTAAATTTACTCCATTCCAGCTTCAAACTGCTTAGGCGTAGTATCAATCCAGTTGATGTAACACTGAAAACAGATCTGGGCAAGTGAGTCCAAGCCCAGCTTTGTCATAGTGCAACTACTTGGCTTCAGGCTGGTTAGAAAATGTGGACAGTCATCCCACACCAACCTGCAAAAAATCCTGAACAGTTGTATATGTAATCCAAGAGTGAAGTTTCTTGTAAAATTTCATTCAGGAGAGGTGCTTCAAGGGATGCTGAAGAAGGTAAATGTACTCATAATCAGAGCAAGCTGCCAATGGACAGGTTATAGATTCTGGCATTTAATGTAAGAAGTTCTGCTATCAGTTTAACAGATAAACAGATTTATCTTGCCCTTGCCCTTCTTTCCCTTTCCAGTTACTGTGTGATTGTACCTCTGTGTTTATTCCTTTAACAGAATGCAAAATCATGTGTTTGTCAGTAGTCCTCTTCATTCTCTGTCCTCTTTTGGAGTTCTCCTGTTTTGAACATGCATGGTAGTTGAAATCTCAGATGTGTAAAGCAACATATGGGCATTGTAAAGACCAGTGTGCGGTGGCCAAATGTCAAGGACAAACAAGAGGCATGGGATCAGAATGACTGGCTGAAGCTAATGAGTAGATATCCAGCTGTGTCTGCCCTTCAGATGGAAAACAGTTGAATACCAGTGGCTGGAAGCTGAGACAGATGGCAGTGCGGGATTGGTTAGGAGCAGAGGTACAATTCAGATATTACTCAGTAATGATGCATTTTATATCTTATTCTACAATAAATGAGTAATCTGCTTAATATATATCCTTGGAAGAAGTGGCTGCTGCCATTTTGGCGGCTGCTATGAGGGCAAGGGATTCAAATACTGAAAATAAAATAAAATAATTGACTATTGCTCAGAATTTTAGCTCTAAATTCATATATGCAAACAAACCAAAATGAAATGTATCATCCTCTCCTTTCAGGCTGAGCTAAAAATGCTACTCCAAGACCTGTGAAACAGATGTGCTTTCTGCTCTATTTTAATTTCTGCAGTTATTTTTCTATCAGCCTGGCAAATCAGACAATACTGCATACTCCTCCTTTGTGAGCATCTATAGAAATGTGAAAGTAACTAGCCTTTGCCTAGGAAGGAAAACATGTGAGCAGTTAGAAACAACTACAGCAGGTCAGAAAAGTCAGAGAACAGACGGGAAGCAAGAAAAATAGGAGAAAAGTGTTAGCAACACTACAACACCTGCATCAGTTAGATGGGGAGAGAGAGTCTGTAACATCACAAATATCTGAATGTTGGATCAGGTGATTGACTCAATCTAGAATTAAATGTAGAAACTTGGAAAGCAAAGATAACAAGTTGTAAACTAGGACTCAGTGAAAAACTGCCTGCAGATACTGATGTTAAATTTGGGGTACATTCTCAAGTATCTTGCATTTTCTTTCCCTGAATATTTCAAGTTAATTTTATTATCCAGAAAACCCTTTGGAAAGGAAGTTTTTTGACTATGAAGGTTTCATATTCATGGAACAAGCATGTTTTAAAATACATTTCACTCAAGTATTTTCATCAAAAAAAGCAATAAGAATTATAAATAAAGTGATAAATACCCTGATGCTTGATTATCTGAACCAGTTCAGCCTGAGCTTTGTAATTTGTATTTTGAGTAGAAAGACAGAAAGTACATGCCATGAAGTTTGTTTGTGTGTGTCGGAGTCTCTGTGGACCTTGAAACATGCAACTTTAATTAACAGTTACAAATTAGACACTTATCTGTACCATGTGCTGTGCCACCAGGATGTACACAAATGAAGGGTGTTTATTACACAAAGTGTGACTCTGTACTGAATAGGGCTGCTGGAACTTGATCGGTCTGACACCGATCCTTCTCACCTCGGGGCGCATTCAGGTAGATGGTTGTCTGGTGAGCTTTGCTTCTGTCAGCGTTCATAACCTGTGTCTCCAACCCTTTCTCAACTTGAGAACTTCTGCATCACCTATCCCTCCTCTTCCACCTCACCTGTGGTAAGGACAGTAAGAAATTGATGTCACAGAGTGGCTTAAGCTTGTCCCGAGAAGGTGCTGGAATGACAGCAGCACAAGCGTCCCTTCACTGCTCCTTTCCAGAGGCAGCCTGCAGCCAGCATCAGCCTGGTGAGAACTCAAATAGTGTTTACCCTGGAGGTTCCTTACCTTGAATATTAAATTAAGAATATGTAAAAAGAAGGCTTATGTTAATTATTAAGCAAGTAAACCAACTGTTCATAAATTTATTACAGGAAATTCTTCAGTCTTCTCCTTCGTCTTTAGTTTTGCCAGCTGTTGACTGCAAAGCTACCAGGTATCTTCTGAGCTTTCTTCAGGAGTCAGGAGATTGGAAGTTAACAAACGTAACTGATCTCAATGTCTCTCAGCTGGAAGTGGATACATCTAAATCAAACTTACTGGTGGTTCAGCTACAACCACTTGTCAGGTAAGATTTTTAAAGCTTTTGAAAATGTCACTTGTATTCAAGAAATCTAAAAGCCGAAGTGGAAGCTTACAGGGTTAGCAAAGTTATTTTTCTTGCAAAGGGTGGGTGGTGTTTTAAAGTCCCCTGATGAGCTTACCAGGTGTAATGGATGAATTATGTTGAGAATCTGTTTTGTCTGCCTCATTATATGAGAACAAAGGGACAACTAATAAAACTAAATGGCAACACGCTTTTAGCAGAAAGGCTGAATTATTTTATGCAACACATGATTAACCTGCAGAATTAATTGCTAGAAGGCATTCCAGGGGTCAAAGAAACTGGCAGGATAAATAAGCAAGCGGATAAACATACAGACAAACCTGAAGTTACTATGAATAAAAAGACTGGTTTTCGTCAAGGAAGAGGAGGGCTATAATTCTTCATGTTTTCAGGCCTATGTAAACTTTGATATAACAGGTAGATAGGAACTGTTCTTTCAGGTGAATGTATATTTAGAAAATATAAGACAGGGGTGTATCTAGTCCCTCTGCTCAGCTTCTGGTCTTTCTTCTTCCTAGCCTGTTACTTGGGCATCTGTACATTTCTATATACGGTGCATGTATCGATGGGTCCTCAGGACGTGCAGCTATGGCTATCACATCAGTACACAAAAAAAAAAGACATGATGCCCATTTTAAGGAGCTCACATACAAATGTTAGACATGGGTGCAACACCAAATGAAGAGAAAATGGAACAGACATTGTTCAAACCAGCATCAGTAGTCTGGCTTCTCTGCAGCTAAGGAAGTTTGAGGAATCAGCTGAAGATGTGGTCCTTGTACCATCAATGGCTTTGCAAAAGAAAATAGTCAGAAGGAAGAGATGTGAGAATGATGGAAGGACTGAAGCTGACAGCAATCCTTTTACCAGTCAGTTATCTTTGTACATTTCTGGTTCACATTGTTCTTTCCTATAAAAGATTTTTATTTTTCTCCCACTCCTTCTGTAGTGTTTTAAATGAGATTTCCACCCTGGAAGCAATTGCTGAAAATGGTAAGCAGTATGACCGAGTTATTACTAACATTTCATCGTTTAAGTCTGTGTTTTCACTTGAGCAGATTGTATTCTCTAGTTCCTGGGTTTTGCTGTAATAACATTTAAAGGTTTCCGTTTCCCCTATCTATAGTACTTATAACTCATGGTGTTGAAGTACTGAGTGTCTGATTCAAAATCCACTGAAATGGATACAGCTCTGTGGCCTGAAATGTGATGATAATTCACTTCTGCTTCCAGCATGGGTCTTTGCTCATGCCCTGAGATCCTCCTAGTTCAGATGCATCTCTGTGCAGCTCAGACTGCCTCCTTGGATTTCAACTCGCATGCTGGCAGCTGGAGGTGTCAGGCTCATCCAGCAGTTCGAAGGTCTTGGTCTCAACAGAGGGTGTCTGAATGAATAGGAAATGGTTTTCTAATCTTTGTAAAACAATACTGATGCCCTTCACAGCCTATGACTTTAGAGTCTTTTATTAGTTTTGCAGGTATTAAAGAATAGTTGCTGAAGTTGAATCTCTCCATTTAACACTATAATAAAACTTTTCTTGCCTAGCATTGGGCAAAAAAAAAGAGGTGCCACACACCAAAGAGTCACTGAGAGGCATCTGGTGTTTTTAACAGGGCTTTTGCTTACTACTCTGAAGCAGAGATTGAGTTATGAAGCCTGCAAATCATTGTAGTGGTAGTTTTAGGGACGTGCATTTTGGTGTAGTGTAGTGTATGTAGTGCAGTGCAGTGTAGTGTCGTGGGCTAATAATTAAACAGTGCCCTTGGTGCCTCTGTTTCTGCCCAGAGTCAGGGGTGTAAAATCAGAAGGAGATTTGAAAATCAAGAGAAAATACCTTAGTACTGCAATCAGCAGTGTGTCCTTTTCTCTTTGTTTTTGCACTACTCCAAAGTGAGTGTGGCTTTTAACTCCAAGATGAGCATAGTTTGCATACTTATATAAGCAGCTGGATTTCCATCTCTGAAGTTCAGAGGAGTTGTTAAATTCTCTTTTCTTGTCTCCAGAGCATATTAGATAAAAAAAGCCTTGGCTTAATGTTGACCTTGGCTAAACAGTAGCTGTTACTTCACGGGACATTTCTTTCATCAGTTGCACAAACTCATGAATAATCTTCCCAAACCCTGTCTTAGGCCACCTTGTTTTAGAACAGCATAGTTAATGGGGGACCTGTGGGATAATGGAGGAACAGGTTACACCAACTTTCCGGTTAGTGTCAACTACCTGTTATTAGGAGAAAGGTGTGTGGGTCAGGGACAATGTGCCACTTTGTATGGCCAAGTGCAAGATCTGCACTTAGTGTTCTGCATCTCAGCTGTGCTCTAGAAAAGTGGGAGTGCAGGCTAAATCCTCACCTTCCAAAGCAGCCACTCCATGCATTCCTGAAAACAGGTTACACCAACTTTCCGGTTAGTGTCAACTACCTGTTATTAGGAGAAAGGTGTGTGGGTCAGGGACAATGTGCCACTTTGTATGGCCAAGTGCAAGATCTGCACTTAGTGTTCTGCATCTCAGCTGTGCTCTAGAAAAGTGGGAGTGCAGGCTAAATCCTCACCTTCCAAAGCAGCCACTCCATGCATTCCTGAATAAAAAGTGGAAGTAGCATTTTTTTGCAGGAAGCTTTAATTCAAATGGAAGTAGCTGAGACACAGTTCCTTAAAATTATCCCACTGAAGGTCCGTGCAGTAGATAGGAGAGAGTTGGAAGAGGGTAGTTCCAAAAGTCATAGATAAGTGTCCCAAACACAGTCTTCCAAGACATGCAATCTGGGCACCAGCAAGTCTAGGTGTCTAGGTAGTATATGCATCCCAACCACAGTCATTTGCCAAATATTGCTGTCAGGAGACCCTTCAAGGTCAGAACTGCTTGCAAGGTCACGAGTTACTTGTGTTGGTTAGGGAGGGACTGTTACCAGATCCTGCCTGGGTAAGCAACAGAAACTACTATTTGTCAAACACCTGCAACGTGACCAGAGAACTGTTAACCCTTAAATATTGCTTGTAATTCTTCTTTTTGCAGTATCAGCAGTAAACCCATACAAAACCAGTGCAGACCTGTAGCAGGCGGACTAGAAGTTCACAAAGCCTCTTGTGCTTGTGACAGCAACTTCTTTCCTTTCTGCTGTAGCAGGTTTTAAAATCTGATGTAACAAAAAGTCAGAGAAATGTCTCCTGCTGTTTTACTCACTGCAGACAGGAAGCTCTGTGAGACAGAACAAATGGGCTCAGACTCTGCCCAAGGGAAATTTGCTGTTCTGAAATACCTAGAAGCTGGCGTAGGCAGAGGTTTTTAGCACGTTATTAAAATGAGGCTCGTTATGAAATCCAAACTGGAATTCAGAGTCCAAATCTGCTCAAGTTTCAAGGGATTCAGACTTACTGTTTTGTTTATGCTTCTTTTCAGTATTTCTTCTTTCACTCTTCCGCGTGAAGCAGAGTTTGAGATTACTCAGGTTTTACCAGTTTTTGTAAACATTTCTCTGCTCAGAAGAAGGCTGCATTCTGTCATGTCAGTCTTACCTACTGGAATCCAACATACTTCAGAATCAATGGCAAGGCTGCCCTATGACTCCATCTCTAGAAGATGGGATTCTTTAATTGCTATTGCCTGTATTCCTTTCTTCCACCCTGATTCTCAGTATATTCCCCTTTCTACTCTTCTCTCCTATTCCGCCCTCCCACCCTCCCCACTCCCCCATCTTGGTTTTTTCTGTTCTTCCTCTCTTGTTCATAGTTTACATTCTTCCTAATTTCTCTTCTTCCTGAACATTTCTTCCCAGTTCATTTCTTCCATCTCATCCATGTGTAAAAACATACAAAAAAATTAAGATAGATCAGAAATTAATAAGAGTGTAAATCCTGCACTCCCTGATGAAATTCAAGGGATGTGTTTTCAGTGAGTTAAAAAGGTTTAATCCTTCCACTAGGGCATAGATGCAGGCAGTTAATGCTAATTGGAAGGTGTTATCCTAGACAAACTGGTTTGCATTCATAGACCTATGTAGTGTTTACTTGATCCATGCTATCTACAATAAAATAAAAAAAAAAAAAAAATTAAAAAAAAACCCCCAAACTTCAGTAGAACCACTCTAAAATCACTCTAACATCAATATCACCATCTGGATATGCCACTTGTTCCATTAAAGAAAGAGCCTAGGATGAGTAATATTCCCATGTAGGCATGTAATTAGGTGCTTTAAAATACGGTGGACAATCTGGGCCCTTTTCCTCAGAGAATTTGCAAATACTTCATAAGCAAGGTAGAGTTTGGAGCACAGGCAAACAAAGATCTATATCAACTCTGTTGTCATAAAGGTATTCGTAGCAGCTTCTCTGAATGGAGGAATTGCTTCTAGAATCTTCCCAAAGGCAGGAGTTACAGATGCTACTGGTAACTATAGTTACACATAGCTCCTTACTGAAGTGAAATACAAATAACGTGTTATTTCAGAAAGCAATTGGTTGCTTTAATAAATGAAAAAACCAAGACAATCTATGTATTTTTCTATTTATTATTTTTTCTTCTCTGAATTTTAGCTGGATCTGCTGAGAATTTCCAGCTAGTTGAACTCTGAATATGAAATCCACATTATGTATGGCCTTGTACATCCACTTCCAATATAATTACACTAGTAGTATAGAAGCAGTTGTTTTTCTAAGTAAGTTCATTTCTTACAGTAGTTCCTTTTAGCAATAATTTTTTAGAAGGGAAATTTACATAGCTGGGATTTTTGACTGATATGAGGAAATCAATTTGGTTAAAACATTGCAAAAAAGACAATACTTGCATTTTTACAAAAGCTAAACATTTTCTGCAGCCAAGAGACCATGTAAATAGGAGCGTTTAAGAAGGATAGTAATGTAAACTCTACTTCCAATACATGAAAATGAAATACAATTTCTTAAAGTATAACCTTGAAATCTGAGAAGGCTCTATGTCCAGGCTATAAAATATCTGTTGTCTAGACTGGTACATGGATGAGAAACGGGAAGGAACTGAAAGAGTAACTATGAATCTGCTTGCTTATTTCTCTGTCAGCCCTAATAACAAGACAAATAATGGCTCTTGATTCACAACTATTATGCTAACATTAAGCAGATTTCTGCAGATTTCTGCATACAGCTTGAAAATATTTATCAGTTGTAAGTATTTGTCACAACTGCCTGTGGTTTCAGAACTGAAGAAGGGTATTTTGTAGACATGTGTTTGGAAGCCTTTGAAAGGTTCTATCTTCTTTACTTGATTTTCCTTCCCTTTTTGGAAATATTCCACTATATTTCTCCTTTGGCCTCCACCGTAGTCAACAACAAAATTTTCCATATCCTGTTGAGGGTACAGAATCAGGCTTTACATCCACTGAAGGAAAAAGGAATATTGCTGCCAATGTAATGCATATCATGCCTCAAAATAAGGACTACATTTTGAGTAATGTTTCTTGGTAGTTCTGTGTAACTCACAAAATAATGCTGCTTAAGATTTATTATTTATTTATTAACTGCTCATTTGACTAACAGTATATGCATCCTGCTCTCATCTCTTAAGTGCTTTTTCTGCTCTTGCTTTTAATTGCCCAAAGTTCAACCTTTCAATTATTGTTTTTAGAATATTTACTTTTCAGTTTCAAAATCACTCTTTTTTTCTGAATTCTTGTAATGTCTTAGTTTTGTATTTTCTCAAGGAATTTGTGCGTTTTTCAAGACACTGAACATGTCTTATCCCATTTGTACCCATTGACATATAAATGGTACAAGCACCTAAATTCCTTAAATAAACTAAATAAGCTTAAACATCTCTCTCATTACTTCTCCAACTACTGTAGGATTTTAGCTTTCTCAGCTTACAGAATTTGTTAAATTATACATGTTTCTATTTATAGACAAAATAATTGGAAGACTGACCATGGATCTGCAGGAACGAGGGATTCATTTTTCAGTAATTTATACTGCAATGAAACCTTCAAGGGTGAGTAATCTTCAGTGCCTAAAACTGTCAGATTTTGGGCATCTAACATCTTAATGTTTACAGAGGAATGCTGTAGATGATTTTCAATATCACACAAGCAAGCAATCTGTATTATATGAGGTTTTGACCAGAAATGATTGCATGAATTTTCATGTACGATAGCTATACCACATAACTGTTGAAGTTTTACTGTTCTAGGAGACCATAAATCTGCTGTTTTCTTTAGAACTTATTATTATTAATGACTGCAATTTTAGGGTTTTTTTTCCATCTCACTTTAATGGTTTTATAGTAAGTTCTGTGTGGAACCTTATCGACCTTCTTAGTGTGGCTGGTCAGTAAAAATGGAGTGTTATTAATTAACTGAAGGCTACTAATGTATCCATTTTTAGATTAACTGCTTTCATTTCTTTTAGTCAATACTTGGTATTTACAACTGGAAGTTTAAGTTTTCACACTTGCTGATAGTCAGAATCTCACTTATAGATCACATCATATTAAGTTAGCAGTAAGTAGCAAAACACATTATTTATGCAGAGTTACATATCCTGTATGACATACAGGTTGTAATCAAGAAATATTCAAATTTCAATTTTAATACAATTAAATGGAAGACAGTCATGCCTTGAGGAAAACAAAATGTGTTTGCCCACTAAGAAGAAAGGCATATGAGGGATGGGCTTTATCCTAAAAATCAGCAACTTTGAAAGAAACGTATCTATCTGTTCCAGTGGGAACACATCTGAGCTCCGAATATGATGCTTAGTTTCATTTTAATTTTAAGTCACACTCAAGACAATGTCATTTAAGAACACAGAAGATATAATTTCCTTGGTTTAGGCAACAGGAAAGCCATTAGTGGGATTATCTAGATCTGGCGTGAACACTGCACACGGGATCTTGAGAAGCTGGAGGGTTTTCAGGAGGGAAGACTGTGAAAAATTCTTATTCAACTGTTCTTAACACAGGAACAAAACCTCGAAAACCTGTTTTAAATGGTATGGAGTGAAGTCCCTTTAGTTTATTTAAAAGAAGAATGAGAGGCAACTTGACTGCAGTTCATAAATGTTCTTTAAGCCAAAACTGGGTGAGCCCCTCCCAAAGGCATTGTGTTCAATCAGAAATAATATGGGTTTTTACAGGGAGGTAGGATCTTGGATCTCTGGTTATCCAAGATGATGATCAGAATAGTCCCTTCAGACTCTAGGAAAAAAAGCTAGTTCTACTGAATTAAAACAAGAACTTTCTTCAGTAATCTACTCTGTGAAATTAATTTTCAGAGACTGGATTTTGAAGACAAGACTTAGAATACAAAGACAGAGCAGCATGAGGAAGCAGGCTCACACTGATATTCTCTGTACTGTATGCTTTTGTGGTAAAGGAGAGGACATGAGTACAGGGCTTTTGATCTGCTTTTTTTGTAATTTCTTTTAAACAAAGATCCAAAATAAAAATAAAAATCATTTAGGTTTTGTGGATCTTTACGGTTTGAAATCAAAGGAACATCACATCCATAGATAAAATTGCATTTAGAACAATTGGAATGAAAAATATTTTTAATTAATGAAAGAATTGGTGTCAAGAGAAGAAATTTTTAGAGCAATTTAAGAAGTTTGTTGAATTTTAAATCTATGCATATTTCAACAGGCTTTCTAAATTAAAGTGATTTACTTTGAGCGACTGGAGCACTTTTAAATAATTAAAGCAATATATTATAAGAAGTTCTGCATTTTTAAAAAATAAGAAATTTAAACTTTTCTTAAATCTCCAAATTCAATGTAATATACACCCATCTGAGTTGTCCCCCCCCCCCCGCAATAACTAAGTTTTTTCAGTGCATTGAAGGTTATAGTCTTCTCTACAGAGCTAGAAAAGGCAAATTGGAAAGTACCTTTGAGGGTTCATCGGTCTGTACATTTGTGTGTAACTTCTTAGTACATATTGTATATCTACGCCTGTGCTTGAACTGCAGAAAATGTGAACTCTTTCATAACATTAAGCTAAATGACTACCTTTCTTTACTTAAGCTATAAGGACTATATTCCATGATCTAGGAGCTAAAGGGTCACTTCCGAGTGATAACCAAAATCATTATATATGGGAAGTAAAAGGCTTTGATCATATGGGAAAAGAGTTTACATTACTTAGAACACTGAAAATCAATAGCAATCATTCAGTATGAAAGATTTGCATTTATTAAGTTGGATTTTCTCATTGATGAAAGAAATAAGCTCTAAGCATCACACACACACACAGAGACAGCTCCTTCTGATCAGATAAATGAATTTTATGCTATGAAGCTCCCCAAAACTGGGGCTATGAGATATTTCTCTACTGATAGCTCTACCTCCGTGCCCTTGGGCAGTTAATGGCTTCATAACATCGTCTTGTTACATTTGTTCATTGCTTCAAGCAGTGAAAAATAAATGTGAGAAATGCATATATTGGAAAAGATTCCAGACAGGTATTGACTTCACAGAAAGTGAATTAGTGAGACAGGGAGCAAAATTCCCCTATGACTGAGTCTCTTTTCTGAGTTGATGAGAAAGACCTGCTTAGTTTAGACACTGCAGCCACAGATCCCTTTGGGCTATCATAGTTATCAGTTAATTACCCCAATGCACGACAGAGATTGATTCTGGCTGGTTCTTGTTGCATTCCAATTTCAGCATTTGGAGCTGGAAGACAGAATTAAGACTCTCAAACAGAGGCTGTTTGTTGACATACATGAAATAGTTTCACTAACTGATGATTCCTCTGGATATCCCATTGTGTCATAAAGGAGCTGCCTTCCTCCAACAAGGCAACTGCCATGTCTTGGGAATCTTGTTCTAAAATGCTTTGCCCATGGTGTCTGACTGAGTTGGGCTGACAGTGATTTGAATCACCTAATTCTGGGCAAGTGAAATGTAAATGTCTCCATCTGAAGTCATCAACTAGAGTTCTCTTTACAAAGACTTTCAGTGTATGACTTTTCTGACCTATTTTGTAGAGGACTGGTGCAGGATGAGATGAAATTCACCCTTCATAATCTCCTTTGTCTCTGACAACTGTAAAGGCAGTCCTCATGCTTAGGTCAGATCTCGACATATACATTTAGTTAAATTCTCACTCAGCATTTCTCATCTTCTCATCAAACCTGAAACTTATCCCAAGAATTAAGAAGGCTCCTTCCAAGACCTTTCTTCCCTTTGAAACTCATTTGATAGCTTATTTTTCTTCAGGAGAACCAAACCCCTCTGCAGTCCTTGTTCCATTCTTGCATCAGGAGTTCTCATGAATATATGAATTTTTGTGTTCCTGGGGACCTTTCCCAGCCATCTGATCCTCATGGTGGCCATGTCACATTTTTACAAGTTTGCTTCTGAAGCTTCTGCAAGATGGTTTCATAGTTGTTTTCACAGTTAGATTGAATGCTGAGGAACCCCATACTGCCAAAAGGAGATTTATGGCTACTTCCCAGCTGATACTCATTTCGCTGACTCCACTTTTTGCAGATGCACTGTGAAGTGCTGTTTAAACCTTCTCCACTGCCTCCACATTTTCAAAGAGCTCCAGCTACCGTGGGCTTTTCACTGTTTCATTCTACAGGCCGTCTGCTCTCGTTGGCATTTAAGTGTGTTGAGTCTTTGATCCCACTCAGAGCCAAGCAATGTGAGTTATAGGGACTTTATTCAGCCATAAGTAACATGGGCATCTGCAGCACAAGTGTTGGCATTTGACTGTTAAAAAGTGCCTCTTGAAGGTGTCCTCGGGTGCTATTGATGTGCAGCCCAGTGGAAAAGAGTATAAGAAGTTTTAATCTTCTTTGACAAGTGCTTGAGGTTGCATTGTCTTTGTTTCTGCCTTCTACCTAATGCATTTTTTAAAATTTCTAATGAATTACATTTTGCAGTGCTACATCTTCTACTTACATCCAGCTCCTCTCATTTTTGTTGCCTATTTATTTCACCAGTGTGAGGAGATTAAACTCTGCAACAGCCACAGAATCACAGAATGGTTTGGGTTGGAAGGGACCTTAAAGACCATCTAGTTCCAACCCCCCTGCCATGGGCAGGGACACCTTCCACTAGACCAGGTTGCTCATCCCACTGACTTCACAGCTTCTGAGTAATGGAATGCTTTTAACCATTTCATATACCCCAAAAAACATGTAATAGGAGCTTTCCCAAGAATGAAATGTTAGAAAGATGCTTATAATACCATTTGCAGGAGTTGGGGTTGTAGGGTTAATATCCTTATTCATCCTTGAATATAGGAATTACTTTTTTTGTTTACTCTTGTATTTTTCACATTTGAAGGAGCGATTATGGTTTGACATAGTATAATAAAGCATCAGTGCTTCCAACATAAAAGAAGAAACCACAGGAATTCCTCATCCATTAGTCCTCTCCCACATAAAGAATTCCATTATAATAAAAAAATAAACTGTAATCTGTAGATGCACTTCATTATTTCCTAGCTAACTCATTGGTTTTGGAGGGTTTTTTACTTAAAAGAGATAGTTTTTTTAAATAATCACAAAATAGCTGCTTAAAGCTCATTGAAGCCAGTTAGTTGTCACTCTAGAGGAAAAAAAAATGAACAAACATTTAGCCAAATTAGCTTGGAAATTGAATGTTAGGATGTGAGAAATACTTGTTAGCAATTCTGTATGATTCATTCCATGCGTTAGTGGGGAATTCAGGGAAAAAACTGAAAATTGGTGTTTTACCTTTACCCCTAGACTTTGCACCAGGACATTGAGATTCACTTAACTCTAAACGTTTTGCAATTCAGCTTTAATTTTATATTTATGTTTATATATTTATATATGCTTATTGACTTCATTGGGAAATGAAAGGCAGCATGGAACTATACTATTATTGTTATGTGATGAGAACGTTTTTTTTTAATTTTCAGTTGCTAAGATACTTTTTAAGGCATAGATGAAGATTATGCAGGTGTTCCATATACACCAAATTAGAAAGTTGTATTTCTTTTTCATTTAAAACTGCAGA